CGATTCGAGTTTTGAATGAAAGGAGCGTTAGTGACAGTGGAAATTTGTGTCCTCTGTGGTTGGTGATTCTCAAATCAGTTTGAAACAGTGTCGGAGACACCTTTTAGCTGTGATACAGTTGGCCGTGAGCTGTAGTGAACTATACTTTGCTTGCGCCGTGCCCTGAAACAGACTGGAACATTCGCGCATCGGAAAGGAAGGTTAAGAAGTGATGTTTTGATGTTTTGATGTTTCATTCCTGACATCAATTAGTGTGTCAACAGTTATTTTGAGACTGAGAAAAGTTGAATTTTTTAAATAAATTAATCTCATAAACATTTTGTTTATTGGGTACTTGTTAAATTTGAGATAAAGCAATGGTTTTCAGCTTACCAAGACCAATTTTGTGCTTGGTTTAGTCTCGCTCGACTGCTGACTGAGACTGCTCGAGTATTTTTTCTGAGTCATTTTTTAAAAAAAGATACAGCTTTATCTTTCTTCTTCCTGCTTCTCGTACCTGTTCAATGCCTCAACAAGACTTTTTTGTACCTTTTCTTTGGTCCACTCACGTAAAATATTATCTAAATTGTCAAAACTTTCCGCCATTTCAAAACACAAAGGGAAAAACTTTCTAATGATGACGGCAATTGTGCATCTGTCCTCTAATAGATCATAGGCGAGAACCAATGAAAATGTGAGAATAACTTGGTTATTATATAAAAAGTTGTGGATGCATGTTTGGAAGCATTGTATTTAAGCTTAAGAGTTGCTCTAGGTATATTAGTAGCTGAGCGCAAATTGAGCTTAGCAAGTGAATTTAGAACCTGATAGATTCGCAGCATGAAACCATGAACCAATTCAACAGACAGGGTTTTCTAGTCAGGACTTGGTTGGTCTTAACATAAGAGCAGGTTTAGCTTCTTTCAACAACTTGTAGTTGACAAAGGTGAGTTAACCACCATGGCAATTTTACGAAGATTACAGTTTAAGTATTAACCCTTTATCAAAGAAACATGCTTTATAAAAAAGAGGAAATTACTTCATTTTCAATTCAATTAAAGCGTAGCATTTAAATGGATCACTAGTAGATCTCGGCTGTCAGAGTTTAAGTTAGACAAAATTTGTTGTGACATGTACTGCAAACTAAGTAGCCATTGGTAATGAATGTTATTAATAATATTTTTTTTAGATTACAAGCCTGGCGTAGGAGTGGTAATAGAGAAAGGCTCCCATCGGAATATGTGTGGAAAGGTGAGTTGCAGGTTTTTACATACAGTTGAACCTGTCCATAGTATTGACACCTTTTGTAATAAATTAGACACCCCCTTTTCACATACTGTGTGACCTATACCCAGCCCGTTTTATGAAGCTCGATAAGGCATAGAAATTTTCGTAGAGCTCTACGACTCTACGGTAGTTTGAATGTTTAAGCTCTGTTTCTCTCGAATATGTGTACACCGTAGAGTTTTAATGGCGGATAGTTATTGTAGCAAATATTATATCGCTTAGGGAATGTTGAGTGTTATTAGGGATTGCAGTGTTTTAATAATTGTTTTCAACTTACAATTCTGTATTGAGTTTACCCTGACTACGCTCTACGCCCTACGCCCTACGCCCGACGCCCGACGCCCGACGCCCTACGCCCTGCGCCCTGCGCCCTACGCCCTACGCTATATGCTCTACGCTCTACGCTCTACGCTACACTCCATTTTCCACCATCTACCCTCTACACTCTATGTATTTACGAGTTTATCAGTTCAAGAATTTTTGACTACTCTCTACACTAGCTTAGAGGCTTAAAAAACCGGTAGAGTGATAAAAAATATTAGGTTGCGAGTGCGAGTTTCTCGACCATCTGCGATGCTGTAATTTTTGTAATTGTAATTTATTGGCTTTCTTTATTATCTCATATATGTTACACCCGCTTTCAGTGTTACGTGCATAGGAGCCATCTTTCGACCATCTCTCGACATTCCATCTTTCGACATGCTACGTAAATGGCTGAAATACTTTTTGCCTGTGAAACTAGCAATTTTTCCAGTTATTAGCAGAACAAATGACAAGTATATGATAATTACTGACCTAAAATGAATGAAGAAGATTGTGGACTCCCAATTTACGGAATAATTCAAACGATTTTAGTGTAGTCGATCGGCTCTCAATAGTGACTTCCGGTACAATTGGGCCGCTACTGCTCAGTTAGTATTCGAAAGATGTAAACATTCAAAGCAGTCGATTTATCCCTCACAGAATGTTTTCTTGATGTTCCTAGCCTTAGTTTGATGTCAAATAAATCCATCTTCATGACTTAAAGTCGAGGTCGACCGTAAAGAAGCCGCTCGTGCTTACATTTTGATGTAGGCCAGGTTACTTAGCATGTCGAAAGATGGCATGTTGTGAGATGGTGTGGCATGTTGAAAGCGGGTGTAAAGTGTTATTAAAGTGTTATTAAGGTTTACAGTTTTTTAATAATCGTTTTAATGTACAATTCTGTATTGAGTTTACCCTGTATTGAGTCTACCATCTACATTCTACTCTCTATGTTCTACCAGCTTCTCTCTTCAATCTACGCTCTACGATCTACCATCTACCCTCTAAGCACATATACATTCCAGGTTCTACCAGGTACTCTCTTCGACCTACGCTCTGCGCTCTACGATCTACCATCTACCCTGTAAGCCCATCTAGGCTCTACTCTCCACGTTCCACCAGCTACTCTCTTTGATGTACGCTCTACGATCTTACCATCTACCATCTACCCTCTAAGCCCATCTAGGCTCTACTCTCCACGTTCCACCAGCTACTCTCTTTGATGTACGCTCTACGATCTTACCATCTATCATCTACCCTCTAAGCCCATCTACGCTTTACTCTCTACGTTTTACCAGCTTCTCTCTTCGATCTACGCTCGACTCTCTACAATCTACGATCTACCCTCTAAGCCCGTCTGCTTGGAAGGTTATTGGAATTTTTTTAATTTCTTGGACCTCTGATTCAAAGTTGGTAGCTACTCTCGGAGCCAGCGGTGCCAAAAATATCGCACTAGTTCTTGCACCCGTCTCCATCTCTTCTTGGGACTGAACTGGCCTCCTACTTGTCCAATCAGGAAATGATTTGGGGTGATGGGTGTTGGCAGGTCGGCAGGGTTCTGGTGTGTGCTAACATGACGCCACTGAGTAGGACTGCTTGAATCATGCATTTCTCCTATCCGATTCACTACCAATGATCTAAAATTGTGACTGGGTATTCGTATCCACCACAGCACATTCATGCTGTCACTCCAGAATGTGAGCAGGTTCTGGTCAATCTTAAGAACCTTGGCTATGGACAGGGCCAATCTTAATCCCAAAACAGCTCCCATAAGTTCAAGTCTCGGAAAGCTTGTAGCTGATAGTGGTGCCACTCGTGTCTTGGAGGCCACTAGGCTGGTAGATATTGTACCACCCTTGTACTTGTACCTTACGTAAGTTGCTGCACCATACACATCCCCTGATGCATCTGTGAAGGTGTGCAAGGTAACTGTTGCAACATCTGAGTTCGACTGCAGGCAACAAGGGACTTGCACTTCTGACAACTCTGTGAGCTCTTCAAACCACTTCTTGGCCTGTCTAGCTTGGCTTTGGTGTTGTGGGACGTCCCAATCTAATCCTGAGGTCCACATCTCTTGCAGTAGAATCTTTGCCCGGATCACGTGTGGTGCCAGAAACCCCATAGGATCAAACAGCATGGCTATCTTACGCAGGAAATTTCGCTTGGTCAACTGGAACTTCTCATCTGGCGGATTCACTCTGTGAGTGAAAACATCTTCCTTAGCCAACCACAACACACCAAGCGTCCTCATTGATGACAAATTTCCTTTGTTTAAGTCCACTTCGGCAGCCCTGTCTTCTTCAGGTATCTTCTTCAGTACTTGCTCTGATCGTGAGTTGGAAAGCCACCTTCTGGCATCCATACCTGCGGACCCCCACAGTGCTGATAGTTCCTCATAAAGTTTTGCTCACACCTCTTTGCTAGGGGAAGAGTCCATGCTCTCATCCATGTATGTAGACTCCAAGATTGTCTCGGCAGCTTTCGGGTATTGCCCTTGGTTTTCCCTTGCATGCTTCTGAGAAACAAACTGTGCTTGATAGGGGCACGAGTTAACTCCAAAGACAAGGCTAATGAACTGATTAACATCTGGAGGTCTTGACTGATCTACGTCCCTCCAGAAGAAATGATGGAATGGTCTACTTGAGGGTGATATCCAAATTCCAAGATACATCTCTGCAATGTCACACACTAGGGCTACTGGAAACTGTTACTGTAGCAGTACATCAAAGATATCCGTTTGGAGTTTTGGTCCTTGGCAGATGACGTCATTCAATGACAGTCCATCCAATTTTGCAGAGGCATCAAAAACCACCCTAGTCTTTGTAGTTGTCTTTTCAGGACACCAGGCCTTCTCTTCTGTCTTAGAGGGTGTCACTTTAGAAACGTAGCCCTTCTGTATGTACTTACTGATGACGTCTGAATACAACGCCGCTAGCTGAGGATCCTTCAGAAGTCTCTTTTCAGTGCTGATCAACCGTTTGTTTGGAAACTCGGGGGCGTTTGGTTTCCACGGCATGTCTACTTCATATCTTTCCCCTTTGAACTGCACTGAGCTCTCAAATGCTTTTATTGCTTCAGCTTCCTCTTTTTTCAACAACTCTCTTTCTGTGATTGACCCAGATGAGTCGACCTCCCAAAACTTCTGCAATACGGAGCTTGATTCTTTCTCTTGCTGGTGAACGAAATGGGCCATGTTGAAATTTGTCTGCTGCACGCTGTCCTCTGTCAGCTCAGGTGAAACAGTACACGTCCAGCCTAAAGGTGTCAGTCGAGCCACCGGCTCCCCAGGTTGGCCACAGTCATTTCCAATGGAAAAGTGCAATTCGGCATAGTCTATGCCAATCAACATGTCAATGATTGGCCGAGGGCCAAGATTGGGGAAGCTAACACCTTGCAGGTGCTTCCACTTTCCCGATTGCCGTTTCCAGTTAATTGGTTTCATGTTCCCAGTCACCCATATTGCTGTAAATGATGAAATTCTTGCACGAGTCTTGCCATCGATACTCTGCAGGTCGAACTCCACTGGCATGGTTTCAAAGGAATCTTCCTCTCTATTTAACACAGTAACTATGATCCGTTGGGTACTTCTTCCAGTCCTAGCTCAGCAGCCACATCACCATTCATGAAGGTCTTTGTGCTTCCGTCATCAAGTAAGGCATTTACGATCATTCTTTGCTCCCCATTCTTCACCACTACACGTACTGTACACAAGGCGAGATACTTTGCTGGCTCTGGAGCTTTTGTGGTTGCCATGGTTGTTGTTAAGGAGTGTTCAGTACGTGGACTTCGCTCCCCCTCCATGCCAGAACTGCATGCACTGTTTTCACTAGCTCCCATGTCCAAGGGTAGGCTCCTCTCTGGCTCTATCACTTGTGACTTGCTAGCACTTCCACCATTTACAAACTGATCTCCATGCATACCCGATTGTGCGCTTTCTGACAGCCATTAATACCACTCCGACTAATTTGAGTACATCACCCTCTCTTGTGATTTCTTCAGAGGCAACGGTCTGAGCTGTTTAGCCTTTTGCCAATGACTTTGCACATCCAGTTTCTTAAACTCTTCGCAGCTTCACACTGGATGATCTTTTTTACAAAGTGGGTAATTTGTGCCAACAGGCTTTCCTCAGCCGCTTGTCCGACCAAAGAATGTGTGTGAGCGATCACTTCGTTTTCCTATCAGCCCACATAGTGTCTCTGCCGCAACAGTCTGGAATTCACCTTCTTGCATGATCCACTCACGAAGCGTCTCAACACATTCCACTTTTGTCTCCTCAAACAACCACCGGTTGTAATTAGCAAGCATGGTATTGGTCATTTTTTTTGTACCTTCATGTACAAGGACCCATTGCCAAGTTCCTCTTTTCTTCTGGCCTCTTTCAGATGTATGACAATCACGTCCAGTACGTCTGCCAACCTGTCTAGGTCCTTGGCTTCTCCAGGACAAATTGGTCGGAACTGGTCCAATTCCTCTAAGTGCAAATTGATCTGACAACATGGACTACCGAATTTTCTCGCCAATCTGTCCTTAGCTGCTTCATAGGCCTCGGCCGAATGTCCTAAGCTCTCAACTGCTGCCAACGCTTCTCCAGATAGGTACTTCTTTAGCTGCAACAATTTATACTCTGCAGTGGCTGGCGCTTTGTCAACACAAGCCATAAATG